CCTACTAGGAGGCGCACTGCTGCGCGGGCTTCAAGCAGCATTGCTACCGCCCTCCCTAAGTTTTATCCTTTATCCCTGCTTTGTGACGTTCTGACCCCCCTCCCCCTCTTATCCCTCTCAATCCTATTTGTTTTCATCCTCTCCATCACAAAGGCGATGAAAGCTTTGGGCGGCATCGACGCCCCCGGCCGTCACACCAAGCCGCACGCCCACAACGCAATCCCTCACACACGCACGCCAAGCGCCACGCCAAAGCGGCACGTGCAGTGTGCAACTGTAGTTCCCCTCTTTTTGCGTTCCAATTTCCTTGTAAATGTAAAGTGACAATATATTCACTTCCAGTTAGTGTGGAACGACATTGTTTGATCTTTTTGATGCATTTCTGTCTTCATTTTTGGGCAGTAATTCGTGCCAAATGAATCGTAGGTTCAAGTTAAGCGCGAACATTTGCACAAAAATTATACAAATACATTTAGCGTAATTTTATTGTGGTCAGATCAGTTGAGGAATGTTACAAGCAAACAGATGTTGCCATGTCGCTTAACTCCTTGAATCTCCGATAAATTCAGATAGTTGGCGTTCCTTATGAAGCTGCTTACATTTTCCAAACAAGGAAGGGTAGTCCCCTTCCATTTCCCCCTTTCCTGCCCCCTACACCCGACTTTTCCCCCCGCGACAAGCAGCCTGGAGCATTTCTGCCTGCCACGGGCAGCGCACGCGTCCGCATGTGCTCACGGTAATAAAAATGAGCCATAAATTTGGCCCGAGTCCCGGCGACTTCAGTCGGCGCTAAGCGAGGATGGATAAAGTTGAAACGCGTCCAAATCGCTGCGGGTCGGGCCGGTTGGGCAGGCTGGGGTGGAGCGGGGTTGGTTGGGCAGAGCCGAGCGGGGCAGCCGTACATTACACATCGGGATGCAGGCCACCCCGCGGGGCCCCGCGGCGCGACGGGCATGCCGCCTGCTCTGCTGCTGCCAAAGCGCGGCTTTGCACGAATAGGAGGCTTATGTTACCTTGCGGAAACGTCGAGGTAGACTCAATAATGCCTTAGTGACGTTTGCGTTGATGAACTGTCAACTTATCTGTGCAATGACAAAAAATAAAAAAATCTTGCATCGTGACAATCCTGTTGAAAGCTGATTTTCTTTTCTCATCCACAAAACGTTTATATAGATCACAACAAAACATATAATTTGTTGGTACCCATCAACGATTAATGCTGTCCCTTACCATTGCACGAAATTATTCATACGAACGAAAACCTCGGTCAGGAATCTGAGAGTGTTGATGAGGGATTAAGAACGAGGCTTCGTTTGATTCTCCTTGAGCCTAGGCGAGATAAATTTCACACTGATAGTAAATAAAGTATGCAACTAGCATGCACATGCAAGCGCTTAACATTATGTTGCACACCTCGAAGTATTTGACGGGATATTTGAATACTTAAAAGCGTTCTACTGTAAATTTCAACACTCTTAAGTGTCCAAAGCTCCATTTCCAACACTGAAGTTCAACCCCTCTAAGTGATCAACTTTACTGTCACACGCGTTTCAGTATTCAAATATCTAGTCAATCACTTAAAAGTGTACATCATAGTGTGAAGCACTTGCCTATGCACGCCATTTGCAGACCTTACTTATCAGTGCAGTTGTTAATTTGTATACAAACAAAATTTAAACTTACGATTTGTTATGCTTATGGTATTCTTGGAACAATCGTAAACTTCATGCATTACATAAATCAATCAACTGACCACTTGATTGTTTTATTATTGTATTTCTTATTCTTGCCATTAACTGTGCCGCCATTCCACATGGTACACGCAACTTTTCGTCGTAAACAAGAGAATAAGGTTGTGAGGAGAAGGGTGCTAAACGAATAGGAAGGAAGACAGAAGAGAAAGATAGAAAGGGGAGGGTTTCGCTAAACCTTCCAAAACAACTTCGGCCTTACTTTATTGATTCATTGATCAGCGGTATGACTAAGTATAAAGTATGAAGGGTCCCAATAATACCAGCAAGAGGCGAGGCGCCATAGCATTGGCCGAAGAATCCGACGCCAAGTTTCAAGATTTGTGTGTGTCTGTGCGGATCCGTTTTGCGCGGTACATTTTAGACTACTAAAGCCGCAATTTTTCAAATTTCGAAACACAATTTTCAGCATTTAATGTAAAAAGAGAAAATTATTTTTCACTCTAATAAAAAGGGCGATATTATTTACCGTTTTTTAATATTTATGCAGCCCCCCCCCCCCCCTTTTGCGCATATTCCCATACATAATAAAATT